CTCAAACTCCTCATTCTCCCACGTCACCTTGTATCCCAGCTTCACGACCTTACCCAAAGGCACAATCAGCTGTGTGTCAAAATCAGTAACCAGAGTCCCAGTCGTCTGAACTTGACGGAGTGTTGCAACACCGGCTGCCAGCTCCACCTTAATTGGGACTGCTTTCTCAAACTCTGCCTTTGACTTTGCAGGACGGAGAATGTGAGTGGCTCCCCCATCCAGAAGGGCCCGTGAATGGCCAGTGCCTCGATTGACTGCGCACACCGTCACCGCCTTGATCGAGGGCCTCAAAGATTTCAAAAGTTGCACCGCTTCCTTCACCAACGCCTCTGCTGGCGCTGGCTCTGAGTCCGTCGGAGGATGAAACAAGCCGGTAGCCGAGGAAGACGACCCATGCCCTTCTGCTGGCTTGCTGTCACCTTCCTTTCCTTTCCTCTCTTCCACATTCCCCTTTTTCACAAGCGGAACCTCCTTCACTGGGCACTCAGATCTCATGTGTTGAGTGGAGCCGCAATTCCAGCATCTTCCAACCTTCGAGACACCCTTCCACTCATGCGGAAAGCTGCACTTCTGGCCCTTCTTACAGCCTGTCTCTGACAAGAAGTATCGGCAAACAGGTTTCTCTCCGGGATTGGTCTTGGCTTCGCTCTTTGCCCCCTTTGAGTCATGCTTGCCACCTTTCGACTCCTTGCCATCTCGAGCTTCCTTGGCATCCACGTTCTCCTTAACCTTCTCTTTATGGTCTTTCTTCACCGCCTCCTCTTTCACAGGGACGTGTTCGCCGTCCAAAGCCTTGACCTTCACCGTCTCTTTGATTGGCAACGATGACCCGCCATGAAAGACAGCTTCTCCTTCCGCTAGCAAGGACTCAGAGAACTGCTGGATGCTTCTCTCATTTGGAGCTGTGTCCACACGCAAAGCCGCCCTCGTGATCTGCAGACGGAATGCCACTTGTGACGAATGGCGTGCCAAGGCCGCTGCAAAACGATCGAGGGTGGACAACAGCAACACCGGGTCTGGCGGCTGAATCCCAAGCTCCTGCACCCGAGTCAGCCACCTTCTCCATGACCTCAATGCCAGCATCCACTCACTCAAAGGCGAAGGGACCTTCTGATCCACCAACTGTTTCAACAGGGTGGTGCGTTCGCCTAGACCTCCGGGTTGGTAAACTCGAAGCACCTTGAACATGATGCCAATTGAACTGACCTCCCGTTGTGCGACCAGCTCAGATCTCAAAGACTCCGGTAATGCCTTCAGCAGCGCCACCGATCCTCTCTGCTCAATCCTCAGCCACGGTGGTACCTGGAATGCAGGTGGAGAGACAGGAACCAACCTCAGCCTCTCCATGGGCTCCGACTCCAACCACACACGATATAGAGCGCCCGCAACCCTCAGCACCTCGTCCCACCACAGCGAAGAGCTAGAGCTCATATCTCGAAGAAACGGAGCAATGGTCGTGATCCAGTCCCCAGCAACCAATGGCCCAACCTCAGACTCCGACAACTCTGGTAGAGCAGGAAGATCCACGGCTCGAATAGATTCTTGCTGCGCCATCAATCCTCCTAGCCACGCAGGGATTTGACCAAAACCCCCAGGCGCCGCTCCAGGCGCTGGTGGGCCACCAGGGAAACCCCCTGGGAAACCACCTCCATTAGGATGCCCTCCAGGAAATCCACCACCTCCGCCGGGATGCCCTCCAGGAAATCCACCACCTCCGCCGGGATGCCCTCCTGGAAAACCACCACCTCCGCCGGGATGCCCTCCAGGAAATCCACCACCTCCGCCGGGATGCCCTCCTGGAAAACCACTAGGAAGCCCTCCTGGAATTCCACCTGAATGTCCTCCAAGAAACCCACCTCCTGAAAGACCTCCATATCCGCTCGCGCTTCCAGCACCCCTTTGACTGTCATTTCCACCCGAAGTTACCCCTTGTCCACCATCTCCTTGGCAAAGAAGTTCACCCGGGTGTACTCTAGAATCACCTGGAACAGAAGCACCTCCTGAACCCTCGCCTGGTTGCCCCGGTTGAAGACAAGAACCACCTTGAGCATCAACAGGAAGTGGACCTTGAACTGCACTAGGTTCACCACCCGTCGCACCCTTTTCTTCTCGGGCACCCACCACAGGAGCCCTTCCAGACCTCTCCGTTGGAAGACCTGACCCAGTAGGACCATTCCAAGTCCGGCCAAACTCCATCGTTCCATGGCCCTGACCAGTGCTCACCTGCCCAGCACCCGAGACCATGTTGAACAGCTCCATCAAGCTACCTTTTGCCATAGAGCCACACCCACCAAGGAACCCTGCATCTTGACGTGGAAAAAGGCCACTACCAGAATGCTCCACAGGCATTCCCAGGTTTCCCAACATTCCCCTCTCTTTTGGGGATGGCATCGAACCCATTGAGGCCTTCAGAGCTTCCATCACCGCACCCATCACATTTCTCTCATGCCCCATCCCTTCACCAAGGACACTCCCAAACCAGGACTGTTGCTGACCAAAACCTCCGGGCTGTGGTCCCCACGCGCCATGATGAGCCGCAAAAGCTTCCCTCTCAGACCATAAACGGGCGTTTTCTTGCAACAGACTTTGCATCATAGTTCGGAAGACTTCGGGGGGGATCCCTAGGAGGACTCATAGAGGACACTTGTGGATGCTGTACTTCTTGACTTTCAGGCGGTAAATGGGCTGGGCGACATGCCCTCAAAATGGCTTCGTCTCTCGCTGCCTCGCTCCAAAAAGGGTTCACCTGTGGCCCCAAAGAAGTCGGTGGCCCTTGCGGCCTGACCAAGGCACCGTGCTCTGGCTGTATGTCTTCCAGAGCTTTCTGTCCAGAATCTGGTGTTCTTTCGCTAGTGTTCTCCGACATGGCACCAAGGATCAAAAGTCGCGTCTAGTTGGGCTCATAACCCACCGAATGAGCGATCAAGCTCGCACTTCTTTCTTCGATCAAGAAAAGGGCTGTTGAACGTTCAAATGTACACAACTTCACATCAACTGCTTGAAACGCCTCAAGCTAAACGAAATTGGGGATTCCGCTATTATAATATATATTTTTTTGTGGAACGCACTGTGCCAGAGTATGTTAGCTTCTTGAGTCTCACAAGGACGCAGCTAGTCCTTTGAAGGGTGCACTCAGACGTGCACCACGAGCATCCCAAAAGGAGACCCCCAGAGGTTGGTGGGGGTGTGATAAGCAGCAGCTAGAGGACTGGATTGAGTTTCCTGATTTGTGCAACTGTGCAACCCTGGAAAAGGTCAATCAAATCAATGATGTACCCAGTTGTTAGCGTCGAACAAGCGAATCCATCCTCTCTAAAGGGAATGGTTCGAGAGTGGAGGCGTGGATTCTGTGGACCATTTGAGCAAGAATACCATCGGTTGAACTACCAGTTAAGGTGGGTTAGCTGGACATGGCTGGACTTCAACAGCAGCAACATGGCAGAAGGTGTTCATCACATCCTGTTGGGGGTTAGGATTGGACCATGGCTTCCTGTATTGCCCCCATCACAGTAGACTATTGGCTTTCACTGGCAACTCCGAGACTCACTGTATTCATGTGCTACGCCCGGTCGCACCTCTCCAAGTGGCGGTTTCCGGAGGCCATTCGCTGAGGCCATTCGGCCATTCGGGTCCATTCTTTTCCCAAGTCAGAACCCCCGGCACCATGCCGCTCCCTTCGAATCCGTGCCGCCCTTCCTCGGGTTTTTCGGGCAGGTCGAGGATCGGCCGCCGATCAAAGGCCCTGCAGGTGAGAGGGCCGTTTTTGCGTCGGCGTCGTCCTCCGTAGTGAGGGAGATGGACCCACTTGGGCCATTTCGAGACAGGTACACTCCCTGGAACCGTAAGGAAGACCATGAAATCCACGACAAACAGGTGGTGAACTCCACTTCCATGTTAGTTTTCGGAAGTGTATAGTTCAAGCGTCAAGGACGCCTGGTGCGGGGGAAGAGTCTCTCATAGGTTGGAGCATCATCACTAGCAAGACTGGCCATCCATGTTGTTACACGTATGCATTGTGGGGGGATCCACTGTTACAGGGAATTGGATATACCCAATGAATGAAATACTTACTTGCATTTACTCCATTTATGATTCATCCATGTAGGTAACTATCCCATACATGGATTATTTTGCGGTGATCATTTACCCTTATGACGCCGGGCATACTTTGAAGAGATAGGGACGTGCAAAGTAGTGTTAATGTGGGGATACTGATACTGAAACCCTGCGGAAGGGGGCGGGACAATTACACATTTTTATCCTGACCGTCAGTCAAAGGGGCCACAAATTGCGACAAGAAGGCTGTGCATGGCCTGAACCACTGGCCTGGCCAGGATTCCAGTGTTGGACAGCAAGATGTGCTTACTCCTCTTGGACGTTCCCAGTCTGTGAGAAAAGCTGAAATGAGATGTCTGGCTCCAAAGGTTTCACTTCCGTTCCATCCATGCAACCGCCTCCTTCAGCAGGTACCTTGCAGGATCTGGGCCTTGATGGGGACCCGAAGGCGGCTGAAGTCGTACCGAAAAACAACACGAGTCGGCCACAAGCCGCGAAGACCCTCACACAGACCCTGGGGATGTCACATGGTGCTGCTGGTGCGTGGTGGTGGGTGGGCGGGTGGCTCCCCCACGGCCGAGTGGACATCGCCCTTTGGACGCTGGCCAGTTAGCACGGGGAGGAAAAGAGGGATCTTCTTCATGTCAGGGTTTGGAATGGGCAGCCAGTCTCAGACCAGCCATGGGCCATGCATGTGGTTTTTGCCTATACATTGTTGTTTTGTGTTGTTTTGTTTTTAAGGAGGTTGGGGTGTGCAAAGCAAGCGGTCTTTTCCACCTGCTCAGCTTGAGCCAAACCGTTTGGTTGGCGAAGTTCATCAACACAGCTCGAATCGAAGTGCTCGATCGAAAGCGAAAATGCTCATGAGGTGCATGGACTGTCTGCCACACTCCCCCTGCAGTGCGTCACTGCATTCCTATGGCCAAAAGACCTTTTCGGTCAGCCTAGTTCGTCAGAAGCTCATAGCTTCCATCAGAATCCCACTCTTCATTGATGGGCATGGGACCCAAACTACTTCGGGCCGCGGGCCTGTTGCCCTCACTTCGAGCCGCGGGCCTGGAGGCCTCACTTGGTCGTCCAGCGCCGGCAGGGCGCGAGCTCCGAGCCACAGGCATTTGAATGCCCAACCATTGAGGCGTCGCTTCATCCGGCAAGTTGGGATGCCGGGCAAGCAGCAAACCTTCGGAATGGAGCGAGAGGATCCAATCCGACCGCTCTTCCTCAAGAGGAACCTGCATGTTGGGTGGCGCAGGCCTCTCTCCTCGATTCTCCTGTCCCCTCATTCGGCCAAGGTAGCCGAGAGTGAGAGGTGCTTCCATAGCATCCATGCCGCGAGTCGATGCCGTCATCGTCGAGGACAAGGTGCTCGTTGGTGTTCCTGTGGAGCTATCTGTTGAGCCTCTTCGAACCCTCCTGATCCCTCTCAGCAGCTCATCTTCTGGTCGAACCGGCAGAGGCCCCGATGACGCACTGACCTGCGAGGTCGAAAGCGACTGTCCAGGTGGCGTCGGTGTCGAGGAGCTTCCCGTCGTCTGGCCAGCAGGGGTTGAAGAGCTCGTTTGTGAATCCAAGGTGGCATGTTCAGGCAGCGGAGGTTGAGGTGGGTTGTCACGGAAAAAACTGTAGCCCACCCACTGCTCCTCTGTCGGAACCATCGGCCTGTCGGTGGCGGCCATCGTGAACGTTTTGGAGGACCACAAGCTGCACCTTGAAGGAGAGCAGATCCTTTGCGGTGATTCGCAAACTGGGCTGAAGATTTTGGTTGCGCCTGATGGACCATGGCGCACGAGGCATCTGAGGCTGAGAGCCTATGTGGTGAAGGAGCGTATCCAGCAGCAGTGTTGGCGCACCTTGCATGTTCCTGGCACTGAACTGCCATCGGATTTGCTGACGAAGCCGATCGTGAACCCGGCTTCATGGCAGAAGTTTTTCCATTTTTTAGGAGCACGTGTGTCTTCAGGGATTGGGCAGAAAGACGAACACCAGTCAGTTTGTTCTAGGCTCCAGGCGGTTGTAGCTGGAATATTAGGAATGGCTGTTTGGAATCCAATCCATGAAGCGCACAAGATTGCACGCTGTTTGACCATCACAGCACTTGTAGCATACCTGGCCTCGAAAGCACAGGACCTCAAGAAGATCATTGGACACCTTCCGGCAGAATCCCAGGCTGAGGCGCCACGGGGACGGGATTCGGTCGAAACAAGATCTGTGAGGGAAGATGAACCCACCGCACTCGGAGGGGAAGAAAACACAAGATCGGTGAGGGAAGATGAACCCACCGCTGGGATGGGGGGACGGGCGGGCGACATTAGCCTAAGAGGCTCCCGTGCGGCCGCGTTCGAACCTCGCTGCCATGGACATGGTGTGCGCCTTGCTGCCATGCGCGCTGAGCCCAGCACTGAGTCCGGCACATGGACGGTGGCTGGACCTCATGAGTGGCCGCAATTCAGACTTCCTCCACAAGGACGAGATCGATGGGGGCGGCTGCGCGATGGCTGGTGGGTTCGACATCATGTCAAACCAAGAAAAAGGCCATTTCATCCTGTACATCGGCAGACGCCATTCGACGCGGCTCAAATCCGCAGTGGACGGGTTACTGCGGTAATCACCACTCCATCAACATAGCCCATCAACTCTGATTCAGCGCTGGAGAGGGTGGCGAACGGCTGCTGCCGACTTTCCCATTGAACCGGGGCTCCATTGTAAGTGACCAGCAACCCCTGTTGACCTCTTCCACCTTGGGGACCGTGAGAAGCATCCGAAAAAACCCGAACACTGGGGAGCTTGGTCGCCTCGGACTCAATGGATGGAGCCTCAAACACCTGTTGGGTGTAGCACAGCTCATAGTCCACGGTGGAGTGCAAATATCCAAGCATGTGAGCTCCCCATTCCAAAACTTTTCCCGGAGCTTTCGTCACCAAGCGGCCCATGATGGAGACTCCATAGCTGAGGTCAGGCCTGGTTCGCCCGCTGAGCCAGAGCAATTCACCAACAAGAGCCTGGGCTTTGCGGACCTGTTCAATGGAGATGTTTTCCTCCAGTTCATCTTGTACGCCAAGGGGCAAAGGAGTTTGTCTCGACTTGATGCCTTCGTGGCGTGCAAGGAGATCTCGAGTGTAGGAGGTCTGGTTCAGGATGACCTCACCTGGGCGGCACTTGATCTCGAAGCCGCAAAACTTAAGGGACTTTTCTGACGATGCCCACTCCGGTTCTGAACAGCGCCAACGAGCCCTGATTCCATCAATCACTGCCTGAGCCAGTGGACTTGGAGCAGCAACCAGCATATCATCAACGTACACTGCCAAGAAGCCCTCCGACGTGTCGTCCTCAGGGATGCTGTTAGGCCAGACTTTGACAAGCTTCCAGAGGTTAGGCTCGGGCGTGGTGACCAATTGGTACTCGTGACCCTCAGCCTTGAACCGCAGCTGAGGGAGTTCTCTGTCGCGATAGTGCGACCAATTTGCCGGGGCATCGTTCAACCCGTAGACAGCGTGGGATATCTCCCAAAGTTCGGTGGGAGGACATATTCCAGCTTCGACGAGCACCCTCGGAGGGCGAGCAACGAGCAAACGTTCACGTTCGTCCGGCCGTGGTGCTAACAAGAACGCTGTCTTGATGTCCACCGTGCCAATTGACCAAGATCTTTGAGCTGCGCACCTCATCAAGCAACGCAGTGTGGTTCCATCTGCTCCTCCTGCATATAGCGAATATGGAGCTTGATCTTTTGACTTCATTTCACCTGCTGAGTTGTCCTGGTCCTCGTTGACCTTGGTGAGGTGGTTGCCACAGATTACCACCCATGCTCTGAGACGTCCATGAAGACTCTTGACCGTGGGAACAAGCATAGCTGGAGCGAGTTCCATAGTTGGGAACCTTGGATCAAGGCGCAACTTTTCTTCAGTAGTTGGCTTGATTGCCTGGGTCGATGAGACCAGTTGACCATATTCATCACGCAAGGGAGGCTTCCATTTTCCAACTCCTTGCGGACCTGCTGTAGTGAGACCGTGTAGGTCTGGAGCACCGTGACTGGGACCTCAGTTGAACCAGCCATTGGAGCCAGAGAAGCCATCTTGTAGTTCTGCAAGGAGGAATGCTGAAACGACAATTGATCTTCAGCACCTCGGAGCAGCAATTCAACTTCACGAAGCCAGCTGCCATGAACGCTCCCAGCGTCTTCACCAACTGCAACTTCTCGAAGACCTTGACACCAGAGCTGCTTCAAAGCCCAGTGACGTTGTTGTTCAAGTTCATGCCACTGCTCTGCCTGTTGTCGTGAGCAGCACATAGGATCTTCCAGCTCCCCCGGAAGGTCAGGGTGTTGACATTGATCACCTTGATCATGAGTCTTGGGCGTGGAGCCTCCAACAACCTCCTCCGACTCCCCTTCATCCTCACATTGAAGTGCCAAGGAGCAGCCAAACTCGTCCAAAAAGGGCAAAGGATCCTCCCCCCCCAGCTCGGCATGCAGCAAGAGCTGGGTCCGACTTATCATACAAGGCGCCCACGGCTCCAGCAAGAGGATGGTCAGGTAGAGGTGGTGGATGTTTCCCCACAATGCGGTGCTTGATTGATGGCACCTCCTGCAAATCCATGATCGCCTGGTCAGCCACCGGCGAAGGTTCCAAAGCCGTCCTCACATGCAGCAGCTGCCCTTTCTTGTCGCGGGCAATCCAACCATGAGACATGTATGGGCATGGTCCCAGGAGCTGCATGGTGCGGTAGGGCATGGAGAGTTGTCCAGCGCGATGCCAGCGTTTGGACTTAACCAAAACTGAAGCTCCATAGCGAAGCATTGGCGGGCTCGGCAGGCCCAATCTTTCAAGTTGTAGGCGCACACGGCCTTCTGCAGCATGGCGTAGGGCTGTTGGCCAGAGGGATTGAGGAAGTCCAGAATCATGTAAAAGAAGTCGAGTTCGGCGCTTGATCTGGTTCACTTCTCCCTCAATGCGGCCGTTGGCCTTCGAGTCATCGCCTGCAGTCAGAGTCAATCGAAGTTGACGTTGTTCACACCATTTTTGAATTGGGACTGAGGCAAAAGATCGTTCTCGATCTGTGTGGAGGCGGTACACTTGGATGCCCAGCATGCGGTACTTGGCATGTAGTCGAGAAAGGGCACGGACCAAAGACTCCACAGTTCTGTCTGGGATCACCTCAGCAAACGTGATATTTTGGTGTCCAGGAGCTTCTTGGGCCTCTTCAATCTGGGCCAACTCATTGAGCCGCTGAACTTCATCATCCGAGAGCATCTCTCGCTCTTCAGGATCACAAGGCAGGTCCTCAGTGTGCTTGACGTCGTCTGCAGTGTCATAGGGCTCGGCAACCTCGCCTGGAAGCTCTGAGACGATGGGCACGGCCACAGTAGAGATCAGTGCATACTTACAGGTCACTCCAGTGCCGAGGTCACGACCAGCAGGGAAGGGTCCACATAGATCCGCTGACATAGTGAACTTCGTTGCACTCCCCCCAAGTCTTTTGTGAGGTTTATCACAGCCCATCGCTTCACCGCAGATTCGGCAGTCAGCACGAAAGGGAATGTGCCCCTGTTTGATGTGTCGGTGCCAGGCTGCAAGGTCCATTTTGGACATGTTGTGGGTGTCACCACTTCGACTTTCCTCCTCCAAAACGCCAAGCAACCTCCGCAGCGATTCCTTGATTGCAGCCACAAGTCCCGGCGCCCAAGCGGCCCAAGACTTTGAAGTGCGAATGCGATCTGCCAGCTTGGTGGGTAGTGGACCATCATCACAACCTTCACCCTGGAGACCATGTAGTTCTTCGAAGGCCGGGAGGTTGGTGAGGACCGTCGTGGGCTTCTTTCGCTGATGACCCAACCGTCCTTGGTCGAAGGTGACCAGACGAAGTCCTGCAGTTCCAACCCAGGCCGTGATTTCCGGGAAGCACCAAAAAGATGCGCTTTGAGCTCCTTCTTGATCACTCAAGTATTCAGCTGGGTCACGTGGAGATTCCAGCAACATTCCAACATCCGTGGGAACACGACGGCATTCTTGAGCACGTAGCCAAAGACCAATGTGCTTCATGCAAAGTGCAGTGTCGCCGTGGACCAAGCGCTGCTCATCATCGTCCAAATCAGGAAGGCACCAACGATCTTCTCCTCGGCCACGTAGTCGTCGAGGGCCAGGAGCCTTATTTCGAAGGCGGCTTACAGTTCTGCATGGAGGACCTCCAATGATGGCAACAATGCGGCCAAGTGATGCCAGCTTCCACAAGTAACTCCAAACTGAAGGGTTGTGGAGGTTCAGGGCTGCATTGATCTCAGTGTCGATGCACAGCCATGAGTAGCGGCCTCCACCAACATCATTCCATTTCTTCGCATCAGCTCCACTGAAAAGGTGAACAATGACACCCTTTCCAGTCATGTGGGCCCGTCGCAACCTTCGATTCCAGGGCGGAGCTGTAGATTCTTGACTTTGACCAGCCATATGCTCAAGAACTGGAAGTGGTAGTTCAGGAAAATGCTTCTGCCACCAACTTCGATCTTCATCAGAGAGAGCCACCTCCCCCTGATCCTCCATCTCAAACTGCGCCAACATGTCCAGCGCAGGCTGTCGATGCATGATGGGGCATCCATTCCTCAGCCAACAAGGGATTGGTCCCAGAGTCGGGTGGTGGATGCTACATCCTGAACGTCGCCATTCCACCTTGAAGCCGCGCTCAACCAAGAGGCCCAGAGGAATGATCGGCTCAACTTCCGTCAGGGACAACAAGGTGCGATGCTTGGGGTGGCGATACAAAACTGTTGAGCCTTGTGCCAGCTCCACTTCAACTGGAAAAAGTTCAGCTCGTTCTTCAGGTCGAGCAACACGTAGGGCATGGGTGGCCCCACCGTCCAAAAGGGCAAACCCCTGAGTTCCAAACTCCTGAGGGTGAGCACTGATCTGCTTGATGCGCATCGTCTTCACGGACCGAAGCGTCTTGAGCAGCGTTGCAGCTTCTTGGATGAGGTCTGTGGCGATGTCATTCTTGGGCTTCTCCTCCAGCGTTGACTTGGCTGGAGAACCACCTCCCGAATCCCTCAATCCCCCTCCAGACACCGTCGTCGGCGACAAGGGCGATGGGCTCGAAGTCGATGTAGACCCAGGACTTCCCACTTCAACCTCCCTTTCTTTGGTCGGGCCTTCTTTTGAGCCCTCGGGCGCAACTCCTCGCAAGCGAGCTGCCTTCTTCACATCCTTGAAGTTCTTGGGTTGACGGTGCACACAATCCTTCGCCATGTGACCTCCCCAGAACAGTGGAAGCACCTGTGCTGTCGGTCCAAGCCCTCCCAGCTATGCCCATAGCCACAAGTGTCTCCTCGTTTACAGCCATGTTGGGTCCCCCAAAACTTGCATGGAGACCGAGGTTTTTCTTCTTGAGTGCCGGACTGCATCGCCTTCACCACCGGAGTCTTTTCATTTGTAGTGGGCGAGCTCGTCGTGTTGGCGGCACCCTTGGGGACTGCAGCAACCAAAGCCAGCTCTTCCAGCTCCGCCTGCAGGTACTCGCTGAGGTCCTTGATGGAGTTCATCTCCGGACGTTGATCAACCAACAATTCCTGGCGCACAGTTGAGACTCTGTACGCCACTTGACTGCCTCCCAGCTTGGCCAACGAGTCCATGATCTTGCCAAGGACATTCATGAGGATCAGCGGGTCTGGCAGCGTGACCTTAAGTTCTTCAGCTCGCTGCAACCATCGGCGCCATTGCCGCATCGTCGCCAGGAGCTCCGTGACGGAGTGACCCACCTTCACTTCGGTGAGGCTTTTGAGAAGCGTTGTGCGTTCAGCTCCTCCTCCAGGTTGAAATACTACAAACAACTTGAACAGGATGCTCACAGTTGTGACGTGGCGAGAGGAGATGACATCTCTTCTCAATTGTTCGGGCAGGATGCCCAGCAGCAATGACACTCCCCGCTGCTCCACTCTCTGGTACAAGGGGTCCACAGTGACATCTTTTGGCCGCAGGCGCAACCTTTCCAAGGGCGTGGCCACCAGCCACTGTTCATATAGTTCACGAGTGGCAGAAAGGCATCCATCCCACCAAAACTGTGAGGTAGAGGACAAGTCCGCCATCAACGGATAGGCCACAGTCAGCCAATCCCCAAACTGCAATGCCGCGCCTTCGGATGAAGGTAGTGGAAGGGCAGGAAGATCCAAAGCCCTGACGGTCTCTGGAACGACCGGAGCCAGCGGGGTTCGAGCCTCCCCATGAGGTTGTCCACCATGAAGGCCTGGGGGAGGATCTGGTCCTGACCCGGGAGGTCCACCTGCACCTGAGGGATCACCATGTGGTAGCCCAGGATGTGTTGCAGTTCCACGACCATCAACTCCACCACTGGCAACGGAGGCATACGACGATGCATCACCACCACCTGCTCCATCAGTTATGCGTTTGACTTCACGAGCGAACTTCTCCTCCGCCTCTTTGAGGATCTGGGTGCGAAGTTTCTCAACATCCCCAGGTCCTGGACTTCCATTGGTAGCCCGAGCACCTGCACTTTCCGCCATTCTCACATGACCTTCACCTCGTGCAGCTTGTTGAATTGAAGTGGTCCAGAAGGGGTTCACAGTGGCAAGGGGGCCCTGTGGCGTGCGAAATGGTTCAAGCACCCTGGGTTTCACCTCCTCCCGCTCTACCTGCCTTGTGCTTGCAGGCGTGCCCATTCTTGGATCACCGTGTGGAGCTCCAGGTTGATGTGGAGTTCCAGCCAAAGAACCTTGCCCACCAAAGAATCCGCCTCCTGGTGGATGAGGTAGTCCCGAACCTGGTCCTTGAGGTAGTTCAGAACCTCGAAGAAGAGGATCTAACAGTCCCGGAGTCGGCGAAGGTGGCACATGGTGGCCTAAAGCCTGTTGCAACAACTCGAACGACTGGCGTGCTGCTTCTTGCAATCCGCCCAGACCCAAGGCGTTAGCCCGAGGATCATGCAAGGCGCTCATGAGGCCTCCAGCCCCGGCCAGCTGGCCAGCTGATGCATCGTGATGCCCTCCATGATGTCCAGGTTGAGGTGCCAAACTTCCCTCTCTTCTTCTTCCTTGAGATTCATTTCCCTCAGCCGTAGGGTGCATAGCCAAGCGCCGGACAGCAAGATCATCTTCTGCAGGTAGTGACGAGGCCCGAGCTGCTCGTTGCTCTTTGAGCAACCGGTCCAACTTTTGATCTGCTGTCTCTTCAAGCGGTGGCCTTCTTCGATCTTCTCGATGTGCACGTCGAGGCTCCTGCGCTTCAGCGGCAGCAGCTGGCTCTCGTGAGCCCTGTCGGCGCCGGCGCTGGAGGGTGGCCATTGCGGCCAACAACCACTCTGCTCGCTCAGCAGCAGTGGGTGGACTTCGAAAACACCTAGCACCTTGGGCTCATAACCTAAGGAGGTTGGGGTGTGCAAAGCAAGCGGTCTTTTCCACCTGCTCAGCTTGAGCCAAACCGTTTGGTTGGCGAAGTTCATCAACACAGCTCGAATCGAAGTGCTCGATCGAAAGCGAAAATGCTCATGAGGTGCATGGACTGTCTGCCACAGTTTTAATCTTTTAGTCGTCAATGTAGGCATATATTCCATATTATTCGATACTGGAGTGTTTGGGAGTGTTGAGGGGACGAACATGGTGGGTGTTGCTTGCATGAAGTCCAAAGGCCCATTCGAAGGTAGGAATCGACTCTTGAGGGATGGAAACATGTGTGGAACGTATCCCAAAGCTGCCATACAAGTAAAGTATAAATGTCACCTGCATTTCTAACCAGCCAAACGTGGGTCATAGTTGCATACCTGGAGCCTTTTGGGGATTGAATCTGCAGGGGAACTCACTACAGATCTCATGTTCCCTTTGGTGAAAACATGAGGCACATAGTTTTGACATGTTTTATATAACCATGACCATCGCTCACATAGTCTGGTTATGTTCTGTTTTTTAGCGGCATGTGAATCGTCACTATACCATGTCACTGGTGGTATCATCCTTGGGAGAGACTCAACGTTGGCTTTTGGCTTGTCAGACATGCAGAGATGCGCACAAAGATGCACCTGATTTAGATAGATTTAGCGTAACATCTTCAATTACCTTTACCTGCTGCTACACAATATCTCAGAAAGTGCTACACTAAACAAAGATATACCAAGCACCTTGTACCTCACTACCCCAAAAGGTACCTCACAAGCAAGGCCAGGAATCACTTGAACGCCAGGACTTCCAGAAAGCCCGCCCAGACGCGCAAAAACACGTGCGCCGATGTCAACACTCCAGGATGTCGGCCTTCCTGTCGTGACGGTGGTGGTTTTGTCCCCTGTGGCCATCCTCTGCTTTAGATACGGTGTTCCCATCGAGCTCATCGTTTTCGGCTTGCTGTGTGCCGGCTATAAGGCACCCAAGTGGTGCACGCGCGGCCAAAAGAAGTCGCCCCCGGTGCATGACTCGCCCCCCGGTGCATGATGAGCCTGAGGTAGAGGAATTGAAACAGAAGAAGAGTTTCCAATCGTGGAGGCCATGGAAATCGAAGCGAGACACAGAGGAGAAAGGTTGGAGAGAGGGCAAAGCCCGGGAAAAGCCGAGCGGAAAACAGGAGGCGAAGGGTGGAGCTAGACCGAAAAGCGGTGCTGCGCATTTAAAGAACAACGCCTCACAGACACAATGGCGGTCCATCATCAATAAATTCACGCCGGAGAAGCTTCTTGTCTGCAAATGGTACAAATGGTATTGATTACCCCAATTCTTGCGAACATGTCAACAGGCCAGACATCCTGCATTTGCCCATGCCCAGAATTCCTCTCAGTGGGACCTGGTTTGCAGGACAAACCATCCTGTCCTGTTCTTTCTTCACTTACCTTCCCATAAGTCCCCCCGGTGGAAGAGCTGATTCAGCTTCGCCCAAGGAGTTTACTCAAGTACGTGCAGGAGGGTCTAAACAATCACACGAAAACGCTATCAAAACGAACATGCCACAATTTACGTGACGAAAGATTGAGACTTAGATCAGCTTCGAGCAGAAGAGAAACCGTGCTCTATATATGCTGCATACTATTCAATAAACTTGAATAAGGCTGGTTCATAGAACCCTACAAAAGAATATATGCATTACGGTACGGACGGTTTTTATTTGCAGACGAACTCTTCATAGACACTTCAACCATAGTGGCTCGAAGCGTGGCCGATGCTTCGCACAATTTTCCCAGGTTTGAGAAGCTTTGTGGGCAGTTGCTTCAAACTCTTCCAACTGAAGGCACCGACGGTGAGTTCTCCAAAATTCTGGAAGAGCTCCTGTCGATGATCTTCGATGCTTGCAGTCGGCAGCACCAGTACACCGAAATGCACCTTGTTTAGATCCGAGAAACGGGTTTCTGTCCCAACACCTCCGTGAGACTGGCACAATGTACATGATGCAGACATAGAACCCTGGACCCAACCACCCCAATGTAGGTATACCTACCAAGGAAAAGTGGGTAACATGTTAAACCAGAGTGGTTTCCCCACTAAACAGTCGAACACGTGAACAAGAAGGTGAACGGTTAAGCTTTTTTGTTCAGGGAGACTTAGGGAGTCAGTAGAACTTAGGGACTCGGTGTAACACTGAGTTCTACTGTGCAGGACTCAGGGGTCAATGTTCAGGTTCGTCGTGCCCACCATCAGGGGTCAGAGTGGATCACCGCATCCCACCATCCTTTCACATCCTTCCGCATCCTTCCGCATTCCCACTCACCACCCTTAGGAGGGTGGACCCTCCTTTCCCCCACTCACCATGATCATCCATGATCACTGATGGGAACAGGGTGGAACAGGTGGAGATCATTCACTTCATCCTTTCGACCCGAAAACGGAATCAGAGGTTGCTGGCAGCCTCCGGACCTGCTCCAGCCGCCCCGAGCCACGCCACCGGTGGCCATCGATTCGATCCGCGAGGTACACGGATCTTTGCCAAAAGCTCTTGGATTTCGTCGCGCAGCAGCGACCCAATCTGGATGGACGTGCGTGCGTATGGGGTCGATGTCAACACATCTTCCAGACCATCGTGTTGAAACCCCCTGAGATCCCGGCCGAGCTGCCTGAAGATGACGCTGGGCTGCCTGCACCGGGACCCGAACGGCCGGGTGGAACAGCCACCGAAACGTCGACTGGACGGTACCGGTGGATGTTCGGGGCACCGTCACCTCCTTCCGTTCGGAACCTGCACCCCGTCGAACGTGACTCTTGGAAAATCCCTAAGGACTTGTGGTACAGCGGACTCAGTGAAAAAAAGGTCTTCATCGTTTTTGAGTTCAGTGTGAGTTCATCATTTGATTTAACTCTCGATTTAACTGGGGGGTCTTTGGTGAAAACAACGATGAGATGGTGACCGGTGCCGTTTGTTTTTTGTGTCGGTGACTTCGTCAGGTTTCTGGGAACGACCACCTGACTTCTTGCTCCCGCGTTTGAGACCCCCTAGGAGCCCTGAAAACCAGGAAAACAGAGTCAAATCCAGAGGTCGCTTTTTTCAAAGAGGAGACGTACTCCAATCAGAAGCGCCTCGCCTCCTTTTTTTGCCAACAGATTTATACTATCATATTCTCTCCAAGCTCCAAAAGGGAATCCAGGATAGTGTCTATGTCCGGTGTGTCGCTTTCCATTAGGAGTACATGGATCGCAAAGCCAAGATCAAAGAGAAGATGGTTGGCATGGTGAAGTTTGGAGGTGGATTGGTTTCACGGGGCTTAGTGCCTCCAGAAGGGGTGATGACGTGGATTCATACACTTTTGAGCGAGAAGACCGAAGAAGTCTTTTGCACAGAGGAAGAGGAGACAGCTGTGGAAACTGAGAAGGATGTGGAGCAACGTGAAGTACAGCTGGAAGTGCTTTGTGCCATTCTAGCTAGTCATTTGGCTTAAGCAGAAGTTGTTGTTTCAGCTGTTGTCAGTGGCTCTCAGTGGCTCAAAAACCCCTCCGATGAACAGACCTGCCTGGTGGCCCCGGGTCATCCGAGCTGGTCGGCTTCGGGACCGAGCTTGTGAGCCATCCGATGAACGGATGTTCCATCCCCAAAAATTCATCTCCATCTTACCCAGGCACTCCATATGCCGGGGTGGTTGACTGGGGGGTCAATGGGGCGGCATATATGGCAGTCCCATGGAGTGCCTGGGTTTTTCTTTGCGTGTTGTATTTGAGCCAACAAAATACCTCAAATGAAGAGGCTACTAAAGAGTTTCTAAGACTTTGGAACCAGATTCTCCATCCTTTGGAAGCAGATGTTTTTTGGATTCTTCAGAACTTGCAGCGGCTTGCAAGGTATGGGCTCTTCATTGTCAGACCCCACCGTTTGGAATGAGGACAATCGCATGGTCATTGAAAATGTCTTTGAGCAACTGGAGACTCTAGCCATCGATGCAGAACACTTGTCCCTGAGGATTAGATGTTTGATTCTCGGATGTGATTTGAATCACTTTTGCTTGATGGAAGATCACGGGTGGGTGCGCTCGTCCATCCCCAGTCGAAGCACCGGTCGATGCGGTAGATTCAGCTCTGCTTTCCCGAGCTGCTCAGTGGTGCTGGGCACGTCTTTCTTCCTAAAAGGGTGGAACCTCCGGATGGACTAGTGGGATGTTGATGTCAGCCACTGTTGGTGCACCACCAATGTGTGCCATGTCGATCTTGTTTTTGGGCAAAGTAGCGAACCTGAAAATGGCCCCTTGTTCATCCTTCGAACCATGCAATGGTCAGAGAGTCCATGTGTTTCTGTGCGTGTCAGTCCGTGCAGGGCTCGCGCGGAGTGCTGATTCAGAGCCAAAGACAAGGCAACGGGTCCCATGGATTCCCCAATCATTGGCTTGGATATGCTTGGATTAGAATTCCTAACAAGGCAGCCAAAAGAACAACATTGTTAGATGATGGGCAAAGAGATGCACGTAACGCCTCCATCTAGCCAACAAGACTGTCCCAGATAAGAGAAGCTTCTGGAGCATACCCTTCTGCTGTCCTCGTTAAGACTGGAGTATGCCCTGCCGAACGGTGGATTCTTCAACTCGATCCCAGACACGAGGAGACAGACCCCAGACAGACCCCAGACACCATCACCCCAAAATACCCCAAAGTAATTGATAAGTCAATCAATTCCTGGCCCACATCCTGAGAAGGTACACCCTCCAAACCTACCCCAACCATCCACCCTACACGAAGGTATATAGTTGGAACCCTCGAAAAGTCTAGAAATACATGCCAGTCCCCAGACTGCTCATGTCCCAGACTCACATCGTATGAACGTCTTCTTCCGCACCCCGTGACTTCGCGCGATGATTCAGGATACGAGATGTGCTCGACTTGCGGATGGCGGAATGGAAGGAAAAGCGTGGCAAGCTCAAGCCCACCTGTTTGCACAAGCAACTTGCAGCGAAAGCTGGGGGTAGCTATCAGACTGGGTTCAGGGGATGAGGAGGGCTTGCTGGCGGTGGAAAATTGTTTTCCCTGGACAAATGAGCCAAGCTGGCAAGCCTTTCTGAGATGCTTTGAGTGCCAGCCATATTAAAAGCTAATTCTGGGTTTTGTCGGGAGAATCGTCTCCTGAATTAGCTTTCAAGGTGACCACGCATTGGAATGCATTTGGGGTGCATTTCTACCATGGTTTCCAGCATTTTCCAGCATTGTGGCCGTCCGAAATGTTCACTGCTAAAGGCGGCGAGAGTTCCGTTCCTCACGTTTCCTCACCCTCTTGGCTCCACCCTCTTGGAGGCGTCCTTGGAATCCAAGCGGCACGAATTCTGCTGTGCATTTGAGACGTTTCACGGCCTATGGGTGAATCACCGTTCTGGATGTGTTTCCTGGTTCCTGGAATCCATTGCGGGGGCCCCTCGGCCCGTCGTGGTCTTGTTCGGTGCGGTTCCAGGTACTTGGTGCGTTCCTTCGCTTCGCAGCAAAACCTGAATCACCACTACCAACAGCAGCACTACCACTTAAGACTCAAAGCCTTCCAAACAAATCGACATCTTCACCACTCTCGGGTTCGAAGAAGTGCCCCGCCCCGCGGTCAAATATATGCGCACGTGCACCTATAAAAATCCTCTTCTATCCGCGGAAGACGCCGTCCACGTCTTCCGTCCTCTTCGCGATGGCGGCAGCGAAAAGGCAGAAGGAGGAGGAGCGTTTGGAGACCAACCTCAGGAGCGAAGCACCCGAGTTCGTGCCCGGCTCCAAGGCGACGAGACGGCCGGCAACGGGGCGAACCAGACGGATCTGGAACAGAAACAAGACGGCCCAACAAGCTATAGACCGAAGGATTCATATCATGGCCCTGTTGTTACATGGTTCTCTCAAGCAAGTTCTATAAGAGGTTTAGAGCGAACATGAGTGAACAGTTAACATATAGAATCCTATACGATCCTGTAAGCAGCCTCAAACCACAGGAGCTCCCGAACGTCCATTTTTTTTGTCTATCGGTATGTCCATGAATACCGCTTTACCTGCGGTGTCAGGTGGTGTTAACTTCTAAGTCAGTAGCTCATCACAATCCCTAGTGCCAGAGGGGTTCTAACGACCGAACCTGAGGATCTGGGCCAGGAGCCCAAACGGGAATGTTCCAATTCTTGCCCCCCCGCGTCAGTGGGTCAGACCGTCCAAGGTCCCACAGACCGTCCAAGGTACGTCGATGAAGTCACTCCAAGCAGAAAAAAACACATTCTCATAATAAGAATGTCCACTCTGAAATGGGTAGCGGGTAAAGGTTAACACTGGTACCTTCAAATCTGTTCAATGATGTGGAGTATACACATTCAAAAGAACAAGCCGGCCCACCATTTTTGGACCATTCAACCATTGTTCGAACGCTTCTCTTTTCTCCCCCGGTCCCTTCCAAACACACCAAAAAAAGGAAGGACACCCGGTGCCCTCCACCGACCGACCGGTGCTCAAAATCCTCGACTCGTCTCGCAGGGTGGGAGCCTATGGAGTTCCGACCGACTGTTGGAGGGGACACTTAGCTCCTTTTGATTGGGCTAAACAACATATGAAACAAAAACAGAGAGCATGATGAGCATGGCAGCATGGTGTTGTGTTCTTTCAATTTGGCTTGTTCAAGCCTATTTTGTTGCGGAACTATATCGGGGTCTAGAACTATTATACATTATTATTGTACTATATACTGTATATGATGGTGTCATATGGTTCCCTCAAATTTGGAAGAATTTCGACCTTTTTGTCCCGCTTCCTGTGCGGCTGGACGATCCCAGGAAACCTTGGATGGATCCGCAACTTTTGGCTTCTTGGACGACCCAAAAGCACACCGGGGCAGCGGAGCGCTGCCCCAGTTGGAAGGTGTTTTCACCGGTCAACCGTCGTGGTTCCTTCCCATGTGTGGGCCTGGAGGAGTGTGGGCAAGGCAAAAGGGGTAGGTCAAATGGATTTGAGGAAAGAACTGAGGGAAAAAGGAGATACGGAGGTAGATGTTGAAGCATCAGTCAGTGAATTCTGAATCGCTGTATAACGGTGAGATACTTAGTAGAGTTTTTTCCGAGAATCTTCCTGGCAACCCGACTATTTTGCAAGGAGCTTCAGCTGTCGCAATTGCGATCTTCGGAGATTCCCCATTTTTGAGCTTATAATGTTGTTTCTTCTCCTCACATGCGACCCCAAGTTGTCTCGATCCGCCAATCCGCCTACTTCGTCGCTGTTCGTCTAAGTCGCCCGGCACTAGGCCTCCTTGCAAATGGTGGACCACCATCTGGAAGTCATCGAAGATCGCGAGGCCAAACTACAACGGCTTAAAGCCTTGATCCAGGCACCCGCCGTTCTCGGGCGGAGTTCGTCGATTCGATGGGGAGGCTGGATTCAATGGGATGCGTGAATGGTAGCTGGAACAACCTGGTTTCATGGGGTGGATTATCACGTTGGACCCGAGGGACCCGAGACCTCCAAGAGCAATGCCAAGAGCACCTAGTAGCTTGTAGCTGCTTGTTCCGTTCGTAGCGGCCTCCAACCTACTTGCGATGGCCACCACCCAATAGAGTCCTTGTTACTAGTAGCTTCTTGTTTAGGAACCAACTCAGTCGAAAGACTTTGGGAGTTGGAGGAAGCTTGAATCTGATGGCCCTCCCTGAATAGTGGATATCCGGGGATTGATTTCCGTGACTTGTGACATTTGCCAGAAATATATAGGTGTTCTTTCGGGAATCCCTTTTCAACATCTTGGAGTTCATTGCCTCTTTGAGTTCAGTGCAGGCAAAGAGCTGCAGAGTCTTCTGCGATGTTCGGTCGAGATTCAGTTTCCACAATCACGGCCAAACTGAAGCCAACTGGTATGTGGAAAGTCCGGATCACAGAATACCCCTGTGCTATGAACAAGGCATTGGTGTGTGTGTGTATGTATGTATGTATTTTGCATATTCCTTTCATCGTAAAAAACTCCCTGTAATAATCAGCACGGCGCTGTGGAGAACGCATGGCCATGCATGGCCCTTCCAGAAAGACACTTTTCCCCTACAAACAAACCTTTTTTTTTGTACATCACCCGTCAGACTACCATGTTTTCAGGGTGAGTCCCCAATCTAGCGGTTTGCCTATTTGGGTCATGTCGATGCCATCCCCAAAAAATAACACACAGTACAGTCATGTACAGTCCGACGAAGACATCACATGGTTACGTGGATGGCATGATCCCTTGGGGAAGACTACATTCCTCTTTTTTACAAACAGGGGGTGTTCCACGTAACCATGTGATGTGTTCGTTTACCTCGTGAGACGTTAGACGTGCCAGACTTCCGACGTGTCGTGTCATACCTCCGCCGCCTCCTGGTCAGGTCTATCACCTGATTCAGGAGAAGCAGATGGTGGTCGTCGCCAATACGATCAATGTCCGAAGAATACTGGACATGATCTCGGGGACTTTTGCTGGCTCTGACTATCGGTGCTTAGATCAAAATACGCCAGAAGCGATCCGTATGCAGAGTTTGAGAAGCTTTGCGCTGGGCCAGACTTCAATGTTGTTGATGACGACAGATGTCTCTGCTCGGAAGGATTTCGACTTTGGGAAGGCGGCATCTGTGCTAATCAACTTTGATTTCCCCATGACCTTGCAGTTGCTTGTCCAGAGTTGACCCTCTCTGTCACCGTTTGCTTTACTTGATTCTACACTATAGACTATATATGGACCAAAGGTGACATTTGTATACCAGTACCTTCAAAGTGACCTCTTTGGAGTCTCTAAGTGGCGTCTTTAGGGTCTAAGTCTAAGTCTAAGTGACCTCATTCTGAGATCTCAAAATCAAAACGTCACTTTGAAGGTCCTGTATACTTATAACATATATATATTATATATGTACGATATAATACACTATTTCAACTAGTTCTTATTGTTTTAAGAGTTTGGATGTGCCTGAGGCTGTACCTCTACCGCATCCAGAAGCGTGCAGACAGTGAGACCCACGTCTACACCTTCTTCTCGCCCCACGATGTGCGACATGCCAATTCGCTGGTCATTGTGCTCGAGGGCGCTGGACAGAAGGTCCCTGAAGCTCTCAGAAAGATGAAGGAGCAGGTGGCGGGGAGTCAATAAACCTTCACAGTCAGTAGAGATGCTTTAACATCAACAAAACTATCGAAACTGTGGGAGAGGTTGATCTCCTGGAAAGGTCATATCTACTCCCAGACACTCTATAAAGTATGGAATCGTAGGGTATTTTTACATTGACCGCTGAAGCCGACCCAATCTTGTCAAGTACGCCATACATGGAGACTGAGAGTGTTTGGGATTTTGTTCGATTTGGGGCGTCAGGGTCTTGGGGTGAAAGCATCCTCAGGTGAAAGCGGAGATCAAAAAGGAAGACAAGGGCCACCGGAAGGGCAAGCCAGATGGCGAAGAAGAGTCTGGAAGCAAAGGCTCCAGACGGCCAGACGGTCGAAATGACCGCAAGGACCACAAATGGGACGACAAAGCACCCCGAGACTCCCGAAGAACCAGCGGTGAGCTCAACCATCGCCGCCCGAAACAGCACGACGATCGGCCACCTGAGGGCGCCCGTCGGAAGGACGCCCGCTGGGAGGCTGAGTCGAAAGAGCACCTGAACCGTCGGGGGGGCGAGAGCGGCCTGAACCGTCGGTCCGGCGCCGCAGGCGGGTCGAGCGCGGGCAGAGGCTTTTCGGACACGTAGAGTCTGGAGGCCGAAACAGGCCGCTCGCGTGAGTCCGTGAGTCCGAAGAAAAGAAGGGCACAGATGGAGACCTTGGGAGGATGTGGGGTTGGTTGATTATGGTCATAATGATTCATGATCGTTTGTGTTATGACGATGAACAGGGCCATGCAGGGGGCCAAGGCACACAGCAGTGCCCCTCTCTTTCTCCAACGACATCAGGAACTTCCGCCGCGAACGATTGCTCGTTGAGCCTCGCTCATTGAGCCTCGCTGCAGCGCAACATGATCGTTCCTCAGAAACAGTGCATTTTTCTCAACCGAACCATCTGGACACAGCGAACCAAACTTCATCCTTTCAGCTCGCTGCTTACTTCAGGCTTATGTCCATCATAGTGGTGGGCTTGCCTCTGGTGTCCGATTGAACCCATATAGACCGAACCATCTTGACACCCGGCCGCCAGGCGCACGAACGCGTTCGAGACACACTTGACCGAGACACACCGAACAGCGTCAGCAAGATCAGCTATGGTCCGCTTCTTAGCTGTTCAACATTGATTCTTGATCATGGAAGTTGGTCGAACAAGCATGTTTCACACTTGCAGGCTTATGCAGGCTTGCATAGGCAGATCTTTGGATCAAAGCAGTGTGTGCAGCTACGTAACCATCGACCGGTCGTTCGACAATTCCGTTGGCGCAGGTTCCAAGCTTTGGCCAAGTCCTGCTTGGAGGCAGGTTTCTCCAGCTCGTTCCGGCGCGTACCAACACGCTTGGGGTGGACAAGCGCATAGCCGGGGGTTCTGGATTTCATTGAGATCAGATTTTGACTGATTAAAGGAAGACCCATAGTCTTTCCATGTCTTTCCATGAGTCAGACCGGTGCAGTCAGGTGTTACAGATCCTGATCCAATACTTTTCAGCTCAAAGTGTCTTTGATGTCGCTCGCATCCTTTGACCGGTCAACACCGAATCCAGGAAATGAGCCTGTTTCGGCGAAGGTACGCGCGAAGGCCACGTTCTGAAAGGTGTGGGAAGGACTAAGGTTGTTGAAGATCTTCCACAGAACTTGAAATGCCCTTGGAATGCATATAATAGACTTATTTTGTAGATCTATAGGTCAAAACCCACTTTAAAAAGACTGACGGGTCCTGAGGGCTCACATTTGGGACTTGGGGGGGGTCAAGTTTGCCAAACATCTTGCGGCAAGGGTTCCAAATTCCGGTTCTTGAGTCTTATGATATAACTCCTTAAAGCCTCAACACCTTTGCACAGCTTTTTTACACCGTTGAACCTCATTGGACATATGTCAGGACCTTTGTTGTTAGGTGTTTGTTCAGGTTCAGACACATTTCCATACCCCAAACTCCCATGAATATACATTCAGCCGTTCTATTTCTTTTGAAGCAATGACATCAATTTGAAACCTATAGCCTATATATGTATATTGTTCAGAATTCTGGCCACAACTTGACAAGCAGATATGTCAAGATGTGCACTTTCTAGAATATATTGAGATTGTCCTTCATCTATCTAGGCTTCTCAGCGCTTTTCTCATGGCTTGATGAACCAAAGGATGGGCTCTCAGACCTTCAGACCATCTCAGACCTTCAGACCTGACACCAGCTGTGCTCCTCCGGTCCCGGTGTGGACGGTCTGACCGTCCAGGCAAAGTGGAAGAAAGTCGACCCCAGACCATCACAGACCTAGGCACTAATGACACACATGGGTGGTCTTGGGAGCCCTCAATGACCGAATTGGTTCTTAATCCCTTTTCTACCTATGTGCACCGGTGTGCTGGGAGCCCTTGGAACTATATTCACGAACGAGAGTGTTGGAGTTGGAGCTTTTTGAGCGTGTGATTCCGTGTGATGTATATGAGGATTGAACAAAAAACTAGGGTTTGGGTCGGTCCATTTCGGGTGAGCTCAGAATGGGAAGAGCAAGGAGGCCTACCTGGTAGACACCATAGAATTTATCCATCGCTCATATAATTTGGAGAGTTCACAACGTGTATCTCCACTTTGCTGAACTGCACCGTGAGATGATGCCGTCACAGAAAAGCAAATGCTCTCAAGTCATTGGTGGAAAAAAAAGAACGGGATGGTGCGCAAAGGCTTGGTACGGAATGGAACGGAGGCACTTGAACAAATAGACATAAAAAAAAGAAAAACATGCATTCACCGTTCACGTCGCTGCATGCGTCTGCGATCGTCTGCGTCTCGGCTTCATGGCTGGCTTGTCAAAAGTTTCCTTTACGGAGCTAGACCGAGGAGTCTGGATTTGTGGCTCCATGTGTGTCGTTGGGTGCTCCGATGATCGCTCCAAAGACCTCGGTTTATCGCAGGTTTATCGCATAGCCCGTTCCAGCTTGCTATCCCAAAACACGGAGGCAAGCCTGGCTTGCCCCATGGAGCCCTCCCATCGTGTTTGATCGCTCTTGAACCCACCGTGGATGATGGTTGTGATTTTTGCAAGCCAACACCGAACGACTTCTGGTGCAGGAGTGATTTTGACTTGCCGATCATGGTTCCAAACATGAACATGAACATCCCTTGATGGGACATATCAATGTCAAGTAACATGACATGTCGTTGGGTTTTTGTGTTTCTTTTTAACACCTATACAGTCCTTGCAGAGGAGCCTCTTTAAAGCGCTCGCTGTCCGCGGTCGCCGCACTTCCGGCCCTAGCCCTGGTCAAGTGATCAACCTCAACACAACCCCAACCGGACTTGGCTCAGCGACCGAGAAAGGGGGAAAACACTTGTTGGCGGCATAGACGTTTTATGATTTTAAAAAAATCCTGCAAGCTCAAAGATGGGACCTGTGAGTGCATACGAACATGTGCCAACGGCGGTGCTGGATTTCGAAGAACAGACAACACTGAGAATTGCCAGTGGTCGTTCAGAAAGCCAACACATCATCAGACTGGGTGTTTGGTCGATTTGTTTCCTGGCCTAGCCACAAGCAGCTGTGAGGGTTGAATCACAGGCAAATCTCAGATCACAGCATGATGCTTGGTCAAAACGCTTTGTTTTGGGGGAACAGGCTCCATTGAAAACAAATTTGCAGAGTAAGAAGCTCCATGCCGCGGCTGAAGCCGGGAGGTGCTGCCGGCACTTCGGACCGGTCCTAGTGAGTCCAGCGGCAGGCTTTCAGTGGTTGGTGTGTTGTGGGTCAAACATGGATCCCCTAGGGATCCAGTCGTACCTTCTCAGGTACGGCGAGCAGGGAGACACTGTGATGTAGGTGCCAGGAGGGTCCAGTCCAGTCGTACCTTCTGAGGTTCGGTACGAAGGTACGACTGGCTCTCTAGATGAATTCACCCTAATTATACAAGTCGTCTTCGTTCATGGCACTAGGCTGACATGGCTCACCATCCAGTCTGCAATAACTATAGTTAGTCGTCGTTACATGTCGCTATTGCATGCATTTTGCTGTGAATTTCACGGATCACAGAGGAGATGTTTCACGCATCTCGTATATCAGACTCATCTCGTATAGAGTACCCCCTTCAAATTCCAACGAGCAAAGGGGTGGAGTCTCCAAATGTGAGGATGATGATCCCGAGTTTTGAATTCGTTATGCTGGTCCTGAAAGGCCTTCTTTAGGAACGACCTGGGGAGCCCCTGTTCTTTTTGGTCTTTTGATTCCGACCAAAAATGAACAGAAAACTTGAGAACCAAACACGGTCAACCTACCAGGGTGAGTTCGAGGAGGCAGGCCATTTCTTTTGGCAACACATAGGGAGGCAGGACTCGCATCAAGATGAGAATGTAGAAGGATCCGGAAATGATTTCGCTATTTCGCTAGGATGGAAATTCGAGAGGATGCCTTTGAGAGGTGACGCTTTTCCAGATCAAACGTATTTTCTAGTCAGCTGGGGTAGTCAATATGTTTGACGTGTTATTTCCATGCTGGGGTAGTCATAATATAAGGTATATCCATGTGTGTGTGTGTTCGACGTGTGTTTGTGTTCAAGGCATCGAAAAGCGTCGTAGTCAGTGCCATCAACCAGCTTCTGAAACTGGCCTGCCAGCACGAGCACGCTCCTCCTCAGCTTCCTCGAGGTGCCGCGGCTGTTTGAGGTGGTTCTTCAGATGGGAAAAAGCAAGCTCTCAAACAAGGCCTTAATCTGAGGTCCCAGTCCAAACAGATGGTTTAGGTTTAATGACGTTGTTCATGTTGCTTCTATTGATTGATGGGCTGTTATTCTTTGTCAAACACCGAAGAATATGAAGAATCCACTCAAGATGTGGATGATGTGATGCCCTTTCAAGCCTTTTCCTGCCACGACTGGCGTCAAACGATGTCAAATGGTTTTGTATGGTTTTGCAATTGTTTGTTAAAGAAGTTGGGATCGTAGCCTGAGAATCCTCCCTCAGTGGGTGCTTCATAAACTATCGCACATTTTTAGGTGTGAAGCCCTCGCACCTCTTGAAGGTGATGTGATATTAATAGGGGCGGGGGAGGCAAGATCTCCTTGGTACCGGAAAGAAGGCGCCAGTGCAGAAAAAAGCCTTGGGTGCGCACAAAGCTGTTGCAGAGAATCCCTAGAGGACCATGGAGAGTGGTGTCCCTTAAACTGGCGGACCATATTTAATAACCCTGTATAACCATGTTACATGTTCTCCATTGAATCAGGGAACCGTTATACTGAAAATAACATGAATCAACATAGATAACAACATATATAAAAATAACATCTCTATAGAAATGAGCCACGGAGGTGACCATAGTCCCAATAGGAGCAGCTGTTCATTCACGAGCTGGGCATAGTTCGATCCATTTGGCATGGGATGTGCTATTTTATAGATATGTGTGAGGAGGGTATATAACTATCCATGAGTTTCTGCACATTCTTATATATTGCATCTCAACAGTATCCCTAGTGCTCCAGATCATCTCTCACAAGGTATCCGAGATTTCAGGTTCAGAGAGTGGGTGCGGAACCAAAGTGTCCTTTTGGGGCCCAGGCACGTGCTCAGGAAGTTCTGGGTCGGATGTTTCATCGGTCTTTTTCCC